AATAATACATTTCATTATAGTTTGTAATTTGTCATTATTCCAGGATCTTGAATTGGTCATGCATCAGTCAAGGAATGCGTACAAATTTTTGGAAGAAAAACTCGAAGAGAATAACCACTCGAAAGACATACACAAAGATGGGGGGGATAATATTAAAATTGTTATTGAGGGAACAGAGCAGGAAGATTTGGAGTAGGTCCGTCTGTTTCAATGTGCGGACCGATAGCGTGCTTTTGTAAACGTGGTAATGAACCTTCAAGTGGTATAAGATGTAGGAAAAATCTTAACTGACTTATAAACTATACACTTTTAAATGTGACTCAGCTGTATGGAGTCAGTTGTAGCTTATGTGCTGTTTCTTTTGTTATTATTCAAGCGTGTTTGTAGTCTCCCTCTGTAGCTATGATGAATATTGCTTAAGAATTATGTGTAAAAAGTAATTAAAGTATTTGCATGCAAATGGAACACTGTGGATGTTAGGGAGACAACTACCCCGTTATAACACAGTCATTCCAAGAAAGACGTATTAAAGTGTAAAACGTAGTTCGGCTAGGATGTTGCGTATAATATTTATTTTAAGAGGACAGAAAGTTACAGAACCTTCACGCCCTCCTCCCCATTGGCAGTGCAGCCTCTTGGTTTATGGGATAACAAAGTTTACTTCACTTCTGTTGCGACAGTAGGGCAGATCCTTCTGGCAGACGTCGTTATCGCCAGACACAACTTACGGTAAAACTGCAGAAAAATATGTTTCTCTTTTATCGCTGAGATAACTGTTGTAAAAACGTGAACTGCTTTGCCGACGACCTGAATTCTATGCCCCAAAGGGATGTTTCTCATCACTCCGTCAAGAACGAATTGCAGTTGTCATCTAAGTTCTAACCGCTGATGTTAATAATTCATGGTGATTAATCTCCACGCCCCTCTACGCTTGTCATCTTAAATGCAGAAGTAGCTTGAGGCGCGGTTCTTTATTTAATGACACTGTCAGTACGTAGCTCTTACTGTACACTAGCGACAAACAAGGGTTTTGGAACGCAATGGAAGGAAGCGGTCATGGCCTAATTCCAATAACAATCCCGGATTCTGCCTGGAGGGACTGAGTAAAATCACAAGAAACCTCAGTCATGTCAACCAGTCTCCGCTGCTGGATTTGAACCCGGAACGCCAAAAAGAAATAGGAGTGCTAACCACTCGACAGCTGTATTCTGTGATAATATTGTAATTATTACAATCCAACTACTAATGATATGTATATCGACACGCAAAATTTATGTTTCCGGTTGCTTATGTCCGTTTAGAGAGGCAAAATACATTCTGACATAGGATGGAAGACGGTCTAATATAAATGACGCTAAACGTCATACCGTGATACTCACTAAATGTAGGTTTGAGGGCTAGAAATTATTAGAAAATTCGCAATTAAATTCTTAAAGTTTTGGGTAAATTCAAGGCTGATGTATAGAAACATGAGTTGTAGCCTGGATGTAAGACATGTGGATAGAACTCTGTAGTAAAATGCCTGCATTTAAATACACTGACCCCGATCTGTGATAAATTCGAGAAACATTTCAGCAGCGAGTAGGGATCAGTTTGGAGCCTGCAGTCAATCAGAGCTAAGGATGTGAAGTCACAGTTCGTGACTCTGCCCCCATCAATCGTTCCGCCTACAGCACAAAGCAGAATTCGTATGCGTGAAATATTTTCAAATACCAAGCACGTACTTCGCTTTAATAACGCTCGATATCTCTTGGCTTGCACTGTACAACGACTCGATTTTAATTGCTGGGTTGCACTTGGACCGCGCGCCGCATTAAGGCAACGTACAGGGAGCATTACGGCTAGAAGTTTGTTACGATTATGGCTTGTATCTATATCGTTGCGTAACGAGCTTATAAAACAAGATGAAAATCTTGCAAAATTTAGTACACAAGTCAGAGAGTTTAATTTTATCACCAGCATGAATCCAATAGAACTGCCTCCTCACTCATGTACACATAAACCTACAGATAATAAAGGTAGCCCACGTGCCTTTTATTATATTCATTAAGTGTATATAATAAGTATCTTTAAAATCATTTGTCTGTTCGACCACTTCATCCCCTCGCTTCATTCATTGTTTTATAATTTTCTCGCTGTATTTCTTTCTTCACACCTTCCTCGTTTATTCCTTTTTCCAATTGTATTTTTTTTTGTCTCTTTGGTTTTTGGTTTTTAATTCATCCACTCTTTCTTTTTCCTTCTTCATTTAGATTTTAGTAATTTCTTTGTTTTTCGCTCTTCCATTATTCCTTTATATGATTCATTCCTTCGTGGCTATCCAATGCTTGACACCCCTGCTTCATTTTCGGGAGGTCCCGGATTTATTTTAGGTCATAACCGTTTTATTACACATCTTTTCCAGTTCATTATGTATTAATCGCCCTATTGTTCCATGCTATGTAATCGAGCTACTGACAGCGTCCTTAAACAAACCATAAACGAAGCAAGAACACATATAAAACTGAGCATGTCTGTATTTTGAAATTGTTTCTGCAATATACGTGTTTAGATTATGCAAGGTGGAACAAAAAAATGCACTGTTTTCTATGTTAGAAATTTCTTATGTTTCTTCTTTTCTCTTATCTGCCGTACATAATTAAATTTTAAAGAAAGGAAGTCTGTAATTAGTCTGCATTCTGACTTTATGGCAGCTTGGCCTTTTTTATAAATATTTATAAATAGAAACTAATTGGTCACTGTAGGTGTGAAACAGTTGATCACATACTTGTATAAAGCTCTCTATTTCTAGTTTGTATGAAACAAATACAGACAGACGTACTGTACAGTATTGTATCAAGTAATTAGCACTCTTGTAGTAGAAAACTGAAGGTTCAAAATCAAGATCTTGAGCCAGTTTTATCCGCCTGTCTTTTTCATAACTGTCTGAAATTCATCTTAATTGTTTCTTCCCATCAGAGGGACATCCTAAATGAAAGTCTGTTTGAATTATTGTGTCCTTGATCTTAGCCAAGCGTTCACCTCACCGTACCTTCCTAGGACTCACATTCTAGGCGGTATATACAAAACGTTTAGGTCATTAATGTAATAAATATCCTGAACTGCTCGCTCACCTTGTCCTTATTAAATTCAAATATTTTGCTGAACTCTCTGTTACTGAAGACTGGTAATTTGTTTATGTAAATTACAAAACAAAATATGTACAGTTCACGTCTGTAATTTTGAGACTTGCAAGGAATGCAGGAAGTCCGTAGCGTTAAAGGCAGACGCTAGCTCATTCACCCCACTTCCTCACCCCGCGAGTCTCAAGATTACAGTCGCGGAATGTAACAACATTTCAGACCTACACAAAATAATGGGAAAAATTATTGTTTAAAGTATACGTCATGTCTAAACTCTATCAGGGTCTTCTGAAAAATTGTGTAGTTTTAGGAAAACATTTTTGCAAGGAGTGTAAAGTAAGTGCAGTTGTTACCTGGCGATACTGAATTTTCGTATATTAGTGTTTTTGTGTAAAGTATTAACCATTTTGTAGATCGGTATTTGTCGGTGGCATACAAATACTTCTGTTTCTCTGACCTTAGTGAGCTAGACGTTCACAGTACGATAAAACGCTTTCATTTGGGTCGGAAGTGAGGATATCCAAGTTGGTCAGCGCTGGTCGAAATGGATTAAAGACATCAACGTGTATCGAGCCGGCTTGTTCTATCAAATCAAGAACTTTTTTTATTTTCTTACAGACTAGAACAACAATTTCGATAAGTGGAGCTATTTTCAGTGGAGATTTGTGTGAACCGAATAACCTAACTTGGCCCGCACTTCATGTCCAGAAACATTGACTACGCCTTCTCCGTAAATATTTTAGTACTTTATACTACCAGTTAGAATGCATTTCCTTTTATAATTTGATAGGTCAAGGGACTTTGTAACTTCACGGAATCGAGTAATTAATGGGAAGGTAATAATTGCTCAGTTAGTACTCCGTATAGCCTCCGCTGTCTACGTAGCTTTAAGGCTCATTACCATATTTATAAGATCCCGCAAACGGTTCATATCTGTAGCAACTTTAATCCAATCATCATGAAGCTTGCTTGAAACAGATCAATTATTACGTATTAACTATTTTCATCTTATTCAATGGTATAAACCTGCAAACTCTGAAGTTGATGTAGCATTTTCAAGTAATTAAAATATTCTCATCTCTTCATTGCCATGTCAGGAAGGAAATATAAAAAGAATTGGAGCATTTATTACATTTCTCTTCGTTTATTCCATACTTTGAAGCCTGAATGGCGACAAACTAACACGACTGTTAAGTTAGTTGGATCATCTGTACGTAAGGCGGAGGCAGTTGTCCGTTTATCATAAATATAAGCTGTAATTATAATAAAACGTGACGAGTAAGTATCTTATACACTTTCGCGTCACATTACTCAGCATAGAATTAACCTAAAGTTTTACCGGCTGATATCAGACGACATGCGGTATAACCCAGAAGACGGACGTCGGCGAAGATCAGAAATGCGTTCTGAGCGCTTTGCAGGGCGACGTCGAAGTTCCTTTGCTTCACAGTGTCATGTCGTCATTCTGTTGAACTCAAGTGACGTCGCAGAACTGGCACATAGACTGCAAGGGGTTGTCATGGGGAGGGTGGGACTCTAGCATATTGTATCACACGCAGCGAAATAAGGCCACGGGTCATGTTTCTTTTTCACAGACACTGAGACACAAATGCTCATAATTAAACGAACTCGTAACATCAGAGGATAGCATTCAAACAGTTCAGCGTAGTTTCAGGACCGTAAAACGATGCAAAATTTAGAAGAAAAGAATTGCTCCAGAATTTTAGTCTGTTTCAGATTTTTATTTCATCCTCATTCGGTCATAGAATTAAAACCCGACTTACATGTCGCCCCTAAATCTACTATAAAATTGTGTGTCCCATGTATAGAATAATCTTTATGTACCTGTTATATAAACATCAGCTGTTTCTCCTGCAGTGCCACCTGCCTGCAACCCTTCGGTGAAGCCACTGATAGCTGCTTTTCCGACGTCAGCGCTTGGTTCAGCTGCTCTAGGATTTAGACGAGCGTCTGGTACTTTGTGCAGCAACTGGTAACAATGCCGTTTATGTGAGTATGTGAATTTGATATTCTTCCTTCACGTCCGTCCAGGGGGATAGTGCGGAAACTAGCGACTGAAATTTAATTACGTGTGTTCCTTGTTCTTACTTCGACAGCTGCGAGACGTACTTCCGTTTGTGCTGTGAAAAATGTGAAATGTTACCAGTTAAAACTGAAATACGATAGTTTACTGCTTTTATAATAAATACGTTAGGCCCTGAATCTATATGAAATTTATTTTGGAATATTTCAATTAATTCTTTAATTCCCAATGGTAATTATACGAGTATGTCCCACCTACTTTAAAATTTCATAAATGATTTTTTTATTTATCGGTTAAATATGATTATCAGTGTAAACAACGATTATTTTCTGAAAGAGCGTTAACCAGTTGATCTGTCAATGTCATGCAACCAATGTGCTGTCACAAGATTTCAGATGTGCCGCAAACTTTTATAAGAAATTGTGTATTTGCACAATGTAGTTAGAAAAAGACAATATCTAATCTCTCACACACCTGCGTTGTTATCGGGCTAGGATTTTGTATGTCGTGTATAGTTTTATTCTCCCATTTTGTGAGGTGAAATTTTGTGGTGTGCATTCGTGTGTCTTAACCAAATTAACAAATTAGGGTGTGCGTGGGTTAACAAAGATTTCGGAACACTGACCTATAAAATGGAGAAATGTTGTGTTTTCTTTGCTGTACGGACAGAATTATTAAATATTATTTAGACGAGCGTCTGCAACGTCCAATTGCATAATATTCTGTCCAGATTCCAAGAAATTTTATCTTCCTTCGGAGTTGTTTATACATACAGCTACACCAACATACGTCGCCCTATCAGCTTGTTCTCCCTCTAGGCAAATCATCCTAAAAACGGTTTGATCTGCAAATGGTTTTGCGGCATGTTGCGACACGTGTGACACGGGCGTGTTCACAAGCACGTGTGTAGGCAGTTGCAGCATCACAATTAAGTTCTGTTATTGTGCATCATTTGTCTCCCACAATTATTTCCTGTTGAAATTATGTTAATGTGCTTTGAAGGCCATTACAGTAGGGCTATCTGCTACGTATTAAAACGAGAATATCCAAAATGAAATTATACTCATTATTTTTTGATCAAACAGTAAAATTTTGTTTGTAGAGGAAGGCGGAACTGAGATTGAGCGTGTGTTAGAACGCAGTGCTGGAAGGATAATTACAGAGAGAAAATGACTGGGGGCTGGAGAAAACCGAATTGTTAGAAGTTCCATAATCTGTATTCATCACCAGATACTATTAGGGTGATCAAGTCAAGATTGATCAAAATTTCGCTACGAGTTGCACAATGTTTGTTCTCGCTTGTCGTACTTTAGTGCGCCATTACATTTGGCACTTGTCCTCGTATGAATTTAATTTTCAAGTCATGACAGGTACGTGTTGCTCTCAAGTACCAGTAAAATATTATAAAATATCAACTTCGCGGTTTTTCTCGCCCCTTCTACGTTCTCCTCCCCTCCACAACACAATTTCTCAAGGCATTCATAACATCCGTTAGGCTCTTAAATTCAAGGGATTTCTCCCTAATTTTGTCGTCTTACAAATAAAATTGAATTCGTGTGTATTTATTCGCTTATAGCGCAAGAATGAATATACTAATTTTCACCAAACTTGGCACGGTTATCCCTTGAGATCAGAAAGATAAGGGATGTTAGGAAGGTTATAACTTAAAGTGTCATGACTTCTTGTACAGATTGGGGTAATACAACATAAAATTCTCCATTCGACTCTAATACAATTAATAATTAAGCCAAGAAGAGCCTCGGGTATCCATTGGAAATGTTTCTGGCAAAGCGACGCTGAAGGCACGACGCGTACAGAACAACACGCAAATATAGCACATGACCCACTGGATCTGCAGATTACTCCTGCATTATTTTACTCACCGCATCGTGTTTTCCAAAACTTCCGTGCTAAGAATAGGAATTTTCTGTATTTTCTTATTCAGCTGGCTGATAAAGACACCCACGTCCACAAGATTCCTTTAAATAATAAGCCTCGTCATTTCAATACACCGGAGCCAATAATTAGTACTTCCGCCATTGTAACAGGTCCGTAGTGATACGCTTGTCTTGCTTAGTCGTTTGGCGCTCGAGTGGAAATGTTAGTTTTCCGTGACGTTTCTGTGAGTACAGTGTTCATCCGAATGTTTGCTGTCGGTCGTTTGTTGGAGTGTGTTTGTTCTTCACACGTGATTAAGTCCCTAAGGAACCATGCTGGTCTGGAAGTAACAGCAACGTGTCTTAAGGCACCTTGCAGAGGAAGCAGCTCTCATTGTTTGTACCAAGGATGGACAATTCTTGTCTACTTTCTTCGCAAAGGTTGTACAAAACAAAGACATATGTCTAATTAGACCATGTTTGTCTTCTGATTTTCTGTCTGTTCATCTCCTTTCCGAAACCACTCGACCTTCTGGCCGAAATTCAAACCGGGTGCCTCCCGCGTTTACGTCTAAAACTTCACCGCTAAACTAACCTGCTCCATGATTTGCAAAATAACGTGGCCTGTATAAAGTTAATAGCGACATTAGCCTGGAGTGACTGAAGACAACCACTCCTAATTTAAGTTTAACTGTGGCTCGGAATACCTCACCTAAGTGCTGTGCTAACCCGCTCTATCCATACACAGAATACTAACATTCGTTCAACTGTAGAGAAGGATAAGAACGCAGTAACTGATAAATTTTAGTCCGCTCATAACAAAGGCACTTGGCATATTTCTATGGGGCTTCAGTTTTTTTGTTTATCTAAAAGCATTCGGGGGCGTCTGCTTTTAATGGTTGTCAGATAAAGTCAACGAAAAGTTTAATATCTAGAGTCCTCGTAATAATGAGGAAGAAATCAAGAGCTTTGTTCAGTGACTCTAAAATACAAACGACAAATATGAGAATAGAGACACTTCGAGGTTCCTGAACTGTAGAATTAATGTAATATTTATGGACGAGTGGAAATCTGTTCCTTAATGAACTGCAGTTATAAGAATGAAGTTGCTAGATTCTGAACGCCCGTGTTGTCAACAAAATACAGGTGGACCTAGATGTAATAAAGGCATTGATAGACTTATACTGCTTAACTCTAGACGTCCATGACATGTAGGCCGTCTTTTTCTGCTGTAAGACGCTGAGTCATTGGATGTACCCCACTGGCGGTCAATATAATATAATTATCTGTAAGGTTTATGCATATCGCCATCCTTCAGGCATCGTGAACAAAATGTAGATTAGCCAAATTTCAGAAAACACACTTCTAGGAGGGTAATACGGGTGGGATAGACCAGAAAAACAGTAATTTATGCGGAAACCCTGAAGGAACTTGGCTGCTTGGAATACGTAGGCGTAGGTGGAGGAAAATGTTGAAATGTGTCTCTTCAGGGTTTGAAGATGTGGAGTGGATTTATCTGATTCGAGATAGGTCCAGTGGCGGTGACATGTGAACAAGGCAATAAACATTCTAGTTCCATGAAAGATGGGACTTCGACTAAGCGCCACTTAGGCAACTTCAAATATTTGTTCAATAATCTCTAGTTATGTAGTTATCGAGTACTAAACATTCTTTAGTATTAATATTTTACAGAAGTTGTTGGAAACTTTGTATGGGGAATATAATTAAACAGGATGAAACATTCTGTGTAGGGATTTTCTGTAATGCTTATTCGGTTTCAGAGAAAATATTATGTATTAAGTTCAGGGAAAAGACGGTATAACATGAAACATATTAGTTAACATGAAAATTATAACATATCAGCCTTCGGTTTACATAAGGCCGTGTACATTGTATCGATTATGAAGAAGTTTAAGACGGACTGAACGTGTGAATGTGCCCTATCCTACGGTGTGAATTTTGATAGTGCTGTATCAGTAGAATACATCAACAGCGTGCCGCCACCTGCAATCACCTCTCGTGGCGATGGGAACGCCACAGCTCGGCAATATTGCCTTGCCTCGGTACACACACTGTGATTTACGGGCACTTCCGGTGTCAACATCCACCCACACGCGGCCGCGTCACTGCGTAGTTCGTCTCGCTACATAGGTCATTCATTTCAACATGTCACGGCTCTTACTCTGATATGGATTTTTAGAGAGAGCTATAAACTTCCTCAGCTTGAGATTTCAGGTTTGAACCCCCGCTGCCCGGGGGGGGGGGGGGGGGGGGGGTGTTCCTCAGACGTAGAGCAGCCGGAGCCGTGGTTAAAAATACGATCAACTACTTGTCCGTTACCCTGAAACGCCTTAAGGCTTGGTGGAAGCTCTGTCTAATTAAGTCGTCGTTGTGGAGGCCTGTTATGCACAGAAGTGGTTTTGGACGCAGCCACAAAAAGACAGACGTGGATCGGACATGGGGCGAGGGTGAAGGTAAAGTGACCCGGGGATGGATGGTGACAGACCCGGGACTGCTGCATGGACGAACCTCGTGATGGGACAAGACTGATGGATGGACAAGTCCAGCAGCGATAAATGGCAACACGAGGTTTCAGCCGGTGAAAAATCTTGGCACGAACTACCCCCACACGCAGCTGCAACCCCCCCACCCCCACCCCATAGGTTAATCAGCAACTTCAGACGTTTTAGAGGTTCTTACAGCCTCCTCACTCGTCATCATTGATGATGTAAGCAGTAAGAACCTTTGAAAGGTCAGCAAACTTCTACGATTCTGTACGGTGCTGCATTCCAGAGGATAGTCATCTGACTCCGTTTCTTTCTTTAGCCAGCTTAACTAAGTTCTTCACTTTAACGAGATTCCTGAATGTCTATGCACCTACCTGTTGTGTCCGTTAAATGGCTCCCCGTGTCCAAAAGTCGTAATAATCATTAATTTTTCCAGTCATTTTACTATACGACAGGCATCAAATTCAATTCTAAAGGGTTTGACGACGGTAATTTACACTTAAAATTATTTGTTGTCAGGACTTTTTCCATCGTCTGTTCTTTAAAATCACGACGTTTCGGAGGCTGGTTCTGTCTCCGTCTTCAGGTAAGAGGTACCTACTCTGTTGGGTCCCTTAGATAGAGCTAGTCTCTGTCACTGGACAATATAAATCGTCCAATTATTAGGTACCTCTCACCTGAAGACGGAGACAGAACCAGCCTCCGAGACGTCGTGATTTTAAAGAACAGATGATGGAAAGAGTCCTGATAACAAATAATTTTAGGCATCAAATTGTTGCATATTTTGCTTCACCTTTTCCCGTTGTGTTCCGAAACAAACTGCGAACCAAAACACGGCACAGAACTGCAGCTATCACGCTTTAGAAGTAACCTTAAACTTAAAAAAACGACACGTTTTCCATAAATACACTTCTCTAATAGAAACAATTAATATTAATGTCAGGTTTAAAGTTAGCATTCATTTCACTCTGTGCTCTTACACCACAAAAATCCCCTCCCCCCCAATCAACATAGCCGCCTTCGTGTCGACATTTGAACCCGGGATCTTCCGAATACGAAACAAAAATTCTAACCACCCGGCCGTGATATTCGAGAGCGTGCTGTGGCGTAACCATCGTTGATGTACCTTTGATGTATTTTTTACTGTTATTATTATAATTATTTTGTAATGTCGGCTTTGAGTAAAAAAAAAACAATGGTGAAAGTGTTTCGTCTCCTTAAGCGTGAAACATCTCAGTCAGTGAGTGAGTGAGTCCATGGATCATCCAGCTTTAAGGCTCTGATCATCACCAAGGTTGCCGCGCAGAATTTCGTCGATTCGTGAAATCAAGTCACATCTGATTGATGAAGTACCGGGAAATGACATGAAACAGCGACGGGGAACAGAAAATATATTGGTTACATTTGTGCAGCTTCTGGTTTCTCGCAATGAGAAAAAGTTCGTGCTCAGCAAATGGCTGTATCCCGAAATGCGTCATTAAGGTTTTGCTACACCGCACGTAATGAACACGTTTCAGTTTTCACCAATAAATTGACGTTATGTAGGTTACATCCTGAAGTTTGCAGATGTCTAATCTCACCGCCCCTCTCAACATCTAACCATCCTCATGATTAAGTTTCTTCATACAAGAATCTCTTTGCTCTTATTAAGCCCAAACTTCCATCACCGTGTTTAAGGAAGTGAGTGTCGGTAATTGAATCTTACCCTAAACTCTTTCAATTCAGTTCACTCCTTCACATCCGTAAGATCGATTTTAATATTACCTTCATGTCTTCCTATTCTAAATATCCTTTTTTATTACATCCTACGGCATTTTAATTTCTCCTTTCGATCTGCGTATTAACATAAGTTTTTTTTCCATTTAGAGTAAACGTGGTGCATATCGTTAATTATGATTATGTCCCTGATACAAATATGGCTGAATTAAGCGACTGTACCCTTTCTTTACGTCAGACAGGATGTCGCGGCAGTGAGGATTTCGACTTTATACTTCAAACTCCAAATTGCGTTTGTAGTCCTTTCTTCATCGCACAGTTTCTTCGCTTACTATCGTGAACGAAGAAAACCTTGTGGCCGTGTCCGTGTCTCTCTGTCTCTGTCGCGTTATTCGCCTAGGGACAGGCAATCTGCATGACAGGGAGTCGTTGTGCAAAATGGGACAGTTACATTTACCTCGGATCACAACAGTGCAACAATTATCGAAGACTTGTGACGTGAATATAACCTTTGGAATGTCAATGTACTTCAAAGGGGACAAAGCCTTCTTGTCGCTGTCATTAAAATTAACCACCACTCTTTATACCGCCATTAGGAGTATAGTGCGTAATATTTTCCAAATTCAAATTCAGGGACGGAATGTCGCGGTACAGAAATGTGGATAATACTCGTGTATCCTATTCCGGAGACCCGGGAGGTCCCAGGAGGTATATCTGTCCTCTGTAGCTACTCAGCTCTTTTCTCCTCTTTATCCAGATTTATGTCATATCATCTGACCCTTGATACTGGTATTCCATGGGGTGAGGCTATGCCTCTGACAGAACCTGTCTTTTTTCAGCTGCATAACCGCAAAATCTGGTACAGAATCGTAAATCTATCACAAAATAAATAATATTTATTACTTAAATGAATCACGTGTCTTTTGCGGTACACTGCTTACATTTCCTGCGTTAGTTTTACGTATCAAATCGTAACAGCGCACGCATTTATCATGATCTTGTTCACAGTAACACCCATTCTAATTTGGCGGTTCGGAAACTGGATTTTCTTTTCTTGTTTAGTAGAATTTGAGGTTTTCTCTGCGTCAGAAGATGGCTGTCTTCTTGGTTGTAGCGCCGTGTAGTGTGGTAGAAGTTGTCGACGTTTCATATATTATTCCATTCTTGTTTTCCTATGTAGCGTCATTAAAGTACTCGTACACGTGTAATGCGTCCCTTCAACTCCAGCCTTTTAGGGAAGGCCCTGACATTCCGAATTATTAGCCAAGTAACGGCCGTTGGCAGCTATCATAAGCCAGAGTCCGCGTTGAATCACACACGGCTGAATAGCTTACATGCTCTCATTTCACAGTCTGATTACCTCTGAGTGGCACAAAAGAACGTGAACATTAATCAACTTTTTAATTAAACGGAAGTACATACTTTAGTAACTAATTTTAACTTTTTATGTCAAAATCAGTGGCTATTACTTATTTCTACTTCGTATTCTGGAGAACGCGAATTCTGTTCGCATTACCAGAGGTTACCCGGAGTGCAATTACGCGTCTTTTCCGTTAGTTTTCTGAAGCAAATATTGTCACTATATTTAAAATAGTTTATACTTTCCACATCCTTTGTAATTCATTATTCACTAATCTTCGTTATTTTCAAGAATTTCAATTTACCATTCTTGTGATCATTCAGTTGGAAAATTTCCTTTACACAAATAACATAAGTTTGAATTTACTGAGACAGCTGTTTAATGGACCGGACCCGATTCATAATCGTGGGAGTTTGTTACAGAACTGTTTGGGAATTTCCCCGCCTACTTTCTATTTACTTTACGCCGTCGTGGTTGGCTGCATCAAGCTCCATAAGTGCATCGCATATATTCAACGACCGTGACTTGAATCAGAATGTTTGTTGTTTAATAACAGATTTAATTCAGTTGTCAGTACTGTACTCACCGCATTACTCCATGGTACTGGAGTTTCGTTTACCAATTGATGTGAAATGTTACGATATGAAACCCGAAATTTCAGCAGTGCCTTGTTTTTTTTCCATACCCTGAACACCAAACCAATGTCAAGAATGTCCTTGCTTTTATGACGTCAATATTTGGTCGCCTTAGTTAGAAACGCCCGCATCTTAAACCTACCTATTCTGAGTTTGATCAGTCTAGCTCATATCTTAGATTCGCCTTTAATATGATTCTTTCAACCTCACTTTAGATGTTGAAAGTCTTTTCATTACGATTTCCAAAATATATTCTTTATGCATTTCGTACTTCCTCAAGTTAAGCCCATTTTAAGGATCTTAATTTATTAGTCTGACGAAATTAAGTGAAGAATGTAAATTGTGAACTATTACTTATTATTACCATATACACTACTGTTTTTATTCACAGATTGTATCTATATTTGTGACGACACGTTTCGACATTACTACGTCATATTCGGTCCATACTTCTATTGCTGAACTAATACAGTGTGCCAAATTCTAATACTTTTAAAGTGGTGCATATATATAGTAAACATTGGTGACCCTTATTAGTTCAACGATATAAATACGAAGATAACTTATTAATGCCGAGAGATGTTGTCGTGAATGCCAGAGATAATCAGTCTCTGAAAGCGAATTGTTATGTACATTGTAACAGTAAATAATTCAGTATAAAAATGCAATCGAAATGCTACAATATAAGACTAATGGTGAAGCTTCTGAATATGGAATTTTCTCCATTCCGTTATTTATTACGTTTTATTCTGATACTGGTAAAATAGTCTACCATCGTTAAATATTTCTGTTAAGAAAATATCAATAAACCTTTGATTAGCTAAGAAAAAGCAAGATCAAATTTCTTACGAACAAACTGTGTTTATATCTCATCTGTCACCAATCATACTTTATTTGATAACTCTAATAATCCTTTATAAAGTTAGTCATCATGCAGTTTTCTCCACACTCTTGTTGCTTTTTCCCTCTTAAGTCACATTTTCTGCTTTGCACACTGTTCCAAAAGAAATCATAAATCTGTATTGTACGTCAAAATAAAACAACATGAAAGAACCTAACATTAGGCCTATTATTTAAAAATATTCACACAAATAACTCATCAGTTATAAATATGGGCATATATGCTGCTCAATATGTTATATCACATTATAATACTTATTTTAAAAGAGTTTCATACGTCGATCAAGAGATACACCGTGTCTGTAGTTTACGCGTGATAAAAGTCCGACAAAATTAATACAATCCGTAAATTAGTTTTGGAGATGAAACTTGAGGACGAACACAACGATCTACCCAGTACAGCTGACTTTTACACTTTTTCGTCAAGAAACACATATTGAAAAGGCAATGTGTGTGGAGGCGTACTTAATTTGTCAGTAAGTAAAACCATTCTTAAGTACCATAAAACTCAGTCAAACTGATTTCTTATATAATTAATGATTGGTTCCGCAGGAACAGAATTAACCTCCTTATGCTTAAGATTGTTGCAAGAAGAGCATTTGAGGATGGTATACAGCACTGGAGCAGGGAAGTGTGGTGAGGGGTGTCGAAATGATGGATTACATTTTGAAAGCGTGTCAAGAGTGTTTTATTTGGTGTCTATCTCGGAGCGTCGCCAAACTTGGCAATTACACACATCGCAAGAAGATGGGAAAGCTGTGATCATATAACAAATCGAAGTAAAGGGGAAAATATATAAAATAAACGTAATTGTAGCGCGAAGATCGATTACACTATCGTCATCTGCCATCTTAAACTTTTTCCACTTGGTCACATATAAATACACCCATGAGAACTGAGATGTCAGTGTAACAGTCTTCTTTCTCAAACTTGGATACTTCGTTGCTGCGAAGTCTGTTGTTTCAACATGGCACCTCCATGGGGCCATGGGCTTTTCATTGCCCAGTGCTTCTTATGGGCACTATGCGTCTGTGTGGTCGCGGATCTGTCCGAACAAATTTCCGAAGACGTTGTGGCTTTCGAAAGCGTACGGATTGTGGAACCTGCAAATGACTCGACCACAACGAAAACGAAACCCGGACCTCCCCGAGCTGTTATCCCAAAGCAGGACAGCAGCGAAGCTTCACAGACTGTTGTAGCGACAAGGCGACGTCTGAGAGGCGTTCCCAAGAAAATGAACGCTACATTGGCAGCAACTGTGAACTCGGTCACTGACCTTAAGTCTTCAGCTTCGGGATACCATGGGAGTTACGGTGGAGGACACGGAGGAGGCGGACACGGAGGTGGGCATGGAGGAGGTGGACACGGTGGTGGGCACGGAGGAGGCGGAGATGGTGGTGGGCACGGAGGAGGCGGAGATGGTGGTGGGCACGGAGGAGGCGGAGATGGTGGTGGGCACGGAGGAGGCGGAGATGGTGGTGGGCACGGAGGAGGCGGAGATGGTGGTGGGCACGGAGGAGGCGGAGATGGTGGTGGGCACGGAGGAGGCGGAGATGGTGGTGGGCACGGAGGAGGCGGAGATGGTGGTGGGCACGGAGGAGGCGGAGATGGTGGTGGGCACGGAGGAGGCGGAGATGGTGGTGGGCACGGAGGAGGCGGAGATGGTGGTGGGCACGGAGGAGGCGGAGATGGTGGTGGGCACGGAGGAGGCGGAGATGGTGGTGGGCACGGAGGAGGCGGAGATGGTGGTGGGCACGGAGGAGGCGGACATGGCGGTGGAGGACACGGAGGTGGGCATGGAGGAGGTGGACACGGTGGACATGGAGGCGGTGGGCACGGCGGTGGTGGACACGGTGGACATGGAGGCGGTGTGGAGACGGTGGTGGTCATCACGAAAAAGGTGGTGGCCATAAACATCACTCTGATCACCACGCCAGTCATGGTAGCAAAGGCGATAAAGGGTACAAAGGTTATCATGACCATGAGAAAGGAGAGAAGGGATATCATGACAAGGAGGGCCACAGTGGACACTACAGTGATCATGGGGGTAAAAAGTCAGAACATCATGAAGGTGGCGGCCACCATGGCGAGCACCATCACGGTGAAAAGGGAGAGAAAGGAGCCAAGTACGGTGAAGAGGGTGACCATAAGAAAGGTCATAGCACGAAGGGCGGACACAACGTGCACAAGAAGGACGAATATGAGAAGAAGCATGAGTTTTACGACGAGCACCATGAGGGAGGCGAGCACAGCAAGTATGGAGAGTTCCACGATCACCACGAGAGTAAAGAGGGAGGCCATAAGAAGGGCGGTCATCATCACGGCGGACATCATGAAGAACATCACGGAAAGAAGGGACATCACGATAAGGGGCATCACCATGACGACCACAAGGGCCACAAGGGCGAAAAAGGTCACGAGGAACACCATGGGCATAAAGATGAACATGGCAAAAAGAGTGGCAAAGAAGAAGGAAAGAAGTGGGGATACAGCAGTAGCTCGGGAGACGGCGGAGGAGGAGGTCACGGTGGACATGGCGGTGGACACGGAGGACACGGGGGTGGTGGTCATGGCGGAGGTGGACACGGTGGACATGGAGGCGGTGGGCACGGCGGTGGTGGACACGGTGGACATGGAGGCGGTGGACACGGTGGACATGGCGGCGGTGGACACGGAGGAGGTGGACACGGTGGACATGGCGGTGGTGGACATGGTGGCGGGAAACACGGCTGAGGCCATGGTGGTGATAGTCATGGATGGTGAAAGATTGATTTTGCACGGACAATATTATCTTAAATATATAGGTATTTTGACACCGGTTGGAATGTTATTCCTGTGTCTCAGAATGCCACCGGCCATGTGATTGATTTTGGGCAAATTGCCACATTAAAATAGACTGATAAATCAATAGTCCTGCTCGTTAATTTGGAGCGGTACTTGAGGATTAATATGTTTGTTACTTATGAATTACAGCCAAACATTAAAGATGTGAAAGAAAGAGTTAAATTTGATGAGTGTCTGACTTTCTTTGATTTTATCAACATTACAGAGTTGTGTTGTTTAGAAAACAATTTTTATATCGGATATGACAGTGAAAATTTTTCTAAACTAAATAGTAGCACGCATATCCCACGCGTGTTGACTGCGTGTTAGGTTTGTTTTACTGCACTGTTTCAATTTCCAAGATTCTGCAGAGTCGAATTATTTATTAAGATGACGTACGGTGAGTAGATAAGAATTTCGAAGGAGAACATTACATCCTAGTTGTCTGTACTACCCTTCTACCTGTATGTTTTTAGGGATACCATTGAAGACATAATCTGTCCCTTTACCGGTAGGCGTCCATTTCGAGGTTCAATGTAGCACCAGAAGACGGGTCTAGAACAGTTGCTCTCTGATTCTACAGGGAGCCAGCTTTTTTAAAAATAATATATAAAATTATATTTATATGTATTTTAATCGTAGTCTTTTAAGGAGAGTACTGGATTCTGAAGCGAAAAGTATAACGCATTTCTCGCATAATCCTTATAGCTGTCGTTCTGAGCATGAACTTCTTACTTAATCTGTGACGAAGTTGTCTGCGGTTGTTTTCTTTTCCTACATTTTAAATCTGACATAACAGATTCAACGGTTTATGCTTGTTTACCTGTGTAATAGCATAACTTACCGGTTGCTCTCAATAGATGGATGGCAGAGAAAGGTAAAACTCATTCCGTGTACCGAAAAATCTGCAGCAGTGACTTGTGACAGTTCCTGCTTTACTACACTTTGTTTGTGTTTTATGTCGACCACTGCATTTCGAATTTCCCATGTCTTGAAGTGACTAGCTGTCATTGTAATAAGTCATGTTTTATTGTTTTATATTTTTGTGTTGGAAGGAGATTGGGTCGATTGACAGTCGCTGCAAGTGGTACACTGAGCACGGTGGTCGAGTGGTTAGCATTATTGCGTCCCTTTCAGAAAGTCTCATGTTCTGTTCTCAGAGTAGAGGCCTGCTGACCTAGCAGAATTTTCTATGCTTATCTGTATCCTTTCAGCAAATATTGGTAGTCTGTACTGCCTGAAATTATAACCTGACAGATTCCTTCCAGATACTCCCCAGTTCCCCTACATTTGCGCGTTATATATTAAGGTATTAATTTAAAAACAATTGGCATAAACTAATCGACACACGAGTGATGTCATAAAGTGAATGCTGTCGAGGCACTGATCCTTCATAGCAGAGATCATTGGTTAAAGATTGTAGGAATTGGTTTGAATTTTTGCTTGTCTCGTCTGCGACAGAATAAAAGTTTTGCGAATGTGGAATACAGTTCAGATTTACTCATCTACATTGGTCCGAATAACACTCCAAGTTTCCTTTTTAGGCCATTCTTTTCATCCGCATAATCGTCAACGTTCCCTGTGAATACGTTTACCTAAAATCCAAATTCCTTGCGCCGGTCATTAGGAGAGCAGCGGCCAGAAATTTCATACCTAGATGTGTAAGTCACTGTCCTGGCAGAGGCGATAGACATTTTTCTCTGGAGCATTAACCTGGTACGTCTGTAAGGCCCACAGAGTTGCTAAAGCCTTTCGTGATATTTCCCCATCCCTATGGGTAAATTATAATCCAGTGCTCTAGAATAGACTAATGTCATTTCCTTTCACACTTTTCCCGATTTATCACCCACAGTAATCCTCTCATTTGGCACATGTAATCTAAGCAGTTGAGAAATCATCGTTAAAGATAGAAGATAAATAAAGGTCTGTGACGCATTCACCAGAAACAGTATCTGGTCATCACCTCCATGTGTGTGACTATAGCGTGTGACCTGTTGTTTGTGGAAAATTAATTTCCTCTCATAGAATTTGATAAAACTCTGGATTTTTCCACTCTTTTCAATAAAGGGCGAAACTTTCCACCCCAGACTTCCGGCTGCTCTTTAGAGGACACTGAACAAACACGGGTTTGTTTTGATACTCTCCTGGTTTTCTCACAAAATTCTACAGTTCTTTTCTTCGTGCTCTGCGAAACGTCCGTAGATGCTTAATCGAAATATACAGAGTCCTTTAGAAGACACAAAATTAACTAGCGAAACATATCCATTTGTATAGCCTATTTAATTACAAAAAGTATACAGTATTCAGCAAGGAATATTAATTATTTTAAGTTCATTGAAACGATGAGCGAATAATATTAACTGTTCCGAGCAACACAGTTCAGCCCCGCAACAATATTTGCGACACAGTTTACATTCAGAACATATTTTTTAACAATAAATAACTACAGTAACAGTGATTATTATGAAAGATCTCTCTGTTTGTATGAGAAACAGTTATATACCATCTCGGTGTTTTGTGAAAGTCCCAGGGAGTCTTTCGTAAACTAAAAATGTGCTAAACAACAAATGAACATGATTAATATAAACGTATTAGGAAGAGATAGATTACTCCAGAACAGGATGCGGAAGTTTAAGATTTTATTCGTGGTAAAAATTGAATTTGTCACTTACATCCATTTGCATTTTAAGCAGATTAATCTTAAAAGCGTTAAATTCTAATTGTCACAGTAGCTTTCTCCTTGTAAATTAAGTTTACGGTTTTTATGAGATCAATATCATGCTGTTCAGCATTTAAATACTCTCAAAGCACGAATCAGCTTTCTACATGGAACAAAATAAGGTACCTAATGACATTATTCTGTCGTGTATTTCTGAGATAAGTGTCTCTGACATAAATTATGCCAGTTACATTTCTTGAGCACATGGCAGTTACTCAACCAATCGCCTTTCTTACGTGGGGTCCAAAAAATTTGCCACTTTCTCATATTCTGATCAAGTTCACATAGTCGCAAACGTTTCATCTGATATCTAGTTTAATATTGTTATTCCATCTACATCTAGGTCTTGTCTTGGGATTCTCTAAACAATATTTTATATTCTTCAGAAAAAAAAATCATAATTTCTTAACGACTGATTAATTTATGAGTTAATTAGTTAGTTAGAACATAACAGATAGAAACCAGTTACCGTAACTTTGCATAAGAATATAATATTACATTATATCTCGAATACGTGTAATCAGAAATTATAAATTGTATGTTGAAGTTTTATAGTGGTGGTGATGATGAATCCTTGGGTTGATCACATACTGATGTGAGACTCCTTAAGAAAAGGTGATAGCCTATTCTCTGAACCAAACTAATTATTAATTGTTTGTACACGTACTGACTTGCTACCCTTTCATGTTTGAAAACCATGCAGGATAAAAGCCGACATACGAACCTTATCTTTAATACACGCAATAAAAACCTGGTGCAGATAGCAGGGTTTATGACACGTGCGATCTATAAGGCGTTATTCCGTGGATAATTCATATGTAATGAGCGCACGTAGTATGAAATTCGATTTGAAGTTCTAAGAGCGCTTCGTCCGAAAATGACTGTCTTCTGGGTTGTGGCGCTGTGAAGCCTGGTAGAAGTTTACCGGCATTTCAGAGGTCTCCCTGCTTCCAACATCAGTAGACTCTTGAGGCAACTTATCGCCCTGATGATGGAGGCATAAGACAGCCATCTTCGGCAGTATACAATGTTCAAGCATATGAGAACTATTTTAATAGCAGTCATGCAATGTTATTTTCGGTATTCTTCGACAAAATTTATAAAATGATGAGAACGTTCATTTGTCTGTCAGTCCGTCACCATGACTTATCTACGAAATTACACGCCGGTTCTCAATTAAATTAGGTACTGAAGGTCTCGTGTGTTCTGCATACAAATATAAATGGAAATATGATTCAGTGTTCTTATTATTTAACCATATACAATGGAAGGTTATATACGTGTATATATAAAAGTAAAAAGTAAAGTAAAGTTTGTCCCACTATACGCCATGTAGGCGTTTGGGGTGAGTGGAGGTATAGCTCCTCTCTTCCTTGACCCCGGCACTAGATGGGGGTGAGTGGTCAGCATCACGCCCCGGCCGGTTTTACCCCCGGGAAAGGACCCCGGTACCCATTGTAGAGGAGGCTGGGTGGGCCCCAGAGTCGGTCTGGACGCAGAGGCTAGAGGAAAAATCCTCTGCCCCCATCGGGGATCGAACGAGGTGTTATTTAGCCTTGAAATAATAGATTTGTGTGTTCGATAAATGAAGACTGACGTCAGTATAACATGTAATTTATTTTATCTACAGTAAACCACTCCGCGTTGTTAAATTTATCCGCAGTTCCATTGCAGATAATGAATCATTGCCTGTTGATATCGAATAGTTTGTTTAAGATTTTCATGTTTCGTTTCTCTATTCTTATTTCTCTGCTTTAATTTATATATTTTTAAATTAGTACTATAATTAAAAATTAATTACTACCCATTATAATTAATATATGGGTACACTTATGTGTAAGAGTAATATAATGTGTATTAGAAATGTTTGTCACCATTTTCTTCTCACTTGTTAAGAAGGGGCTAACTAATTGTTTTCAGATTAATGGAAAGCTCATTTTCGTTAGAGAATTTTCGCGTAATGAACGACTTTAAAGTAAATATTTAATTTCGTGAAACGTGCAGATAATATAATTTGTATCTGCTTCCTTTCTTTTCAATCTCTACACAGTCCTGTAGACTCATTATTCGTGCTGATTTTGTGATTCGTCATTTTTATAAATTAACTTAACCGTACATAATTTGTATATTTGTGTAAAATAATCAGGATTTAATTCTTCGACGTAGTTGCTGGAATTAAAGCACGATTTATGTATATTGTCTTTATTCAGCAGCCATTTC